CCATGTGGAGGGCAGGAACTCACTCCCTTAAGCCATCAGCACTGCTTCCCAGGGTCTGTGTTAGCAGGAAGCTGGAGTCTGAGGCTGGGGCAGGGTACTGAACTCAGGTGCTCTGATGTGGGATGGGGCAGTTTAACCACTGGGCTACCTGTGCACCTCTGTAGCAACTTCTTGAGCCAGTGCTGGAATCCCTGGGCCACTCATTAAGGTATCTGTTCTCTGCATTCAGACAGATGGCAGCTGTGGCTCCAGACCTCAGAAGCAGCAGGTCCTGTGGGGTGGATAAGTCCAGCAATCTTGTTCACTCCCAAGATTTCCAGCCTCAAACTGACTCTCCAGAGGCATCTTGCAGTGATTTGGTAAGGATCAAATTCCCTTCATTAAGTCTCTTCCTGTCTAAAGTACTGTTTCAGAAAAACCTTATCTATGGAAAGAGCCCCCAAAGATGTGGAGGGCTGAGAGACTGAAAGAAGAAGGCAAAGTCAAGATCACAGAAAGTGTGATTTATGGTGGGCATTTTTTGTTGTTGTTGTTTAAATATTTATTTATTTGAAAGGCAGAGTTACAGTGAGGCAGAGGCAGAGAGAGAGAGATGTCTTCCATCCGCTGGTTCATTCCCCAGATGGCTGCAACAGCCGGAGGTGTGCCAATCCAAATCCAGGATCCAGGATGTTCTTCCAGGTCCCCCACGTGGGTGCAGGGGCCCAAGGACTTAGGCCACCTTATACTGCTTTCCCAGGCTATAGCAGAGAGTTGGACCAGAAGTGGAGCAGCCAGGACTTGAACCAGTGCCCATATGGGATGCTGGCACTGCAGCTGGCGGCTTTACCTGCTGCGCCACCGCGCTGGCCCACTATGGTGGGCATTTACAGACAGAAGTGTGGTTTTGGGCACTTGTGACCTGCTGTGAGGCAAGACAGGAAAGGTTCGTAGGCAGAGGCGGCCTCTGGCTTATCAGAGTGTACCTGGATTTTCTCTAGGGAAACATTAACATTCCAGGCATTAGATAAAGGTCATTGCAGAGAGTGGTCCTGGCCAGGGGACCCCAGTAGGTCATGTTAATGGCCTTGCTTTCCCTTTCCTAGGGCTTGAGATGACCATAATGGTTGCCTGAAGGGCAAGATGTTGGTTATGCCCAACAAGCTGTAGTCGTGTCAAGCTGATTGCCTACACGGCCACAGATTTCTGCACCGAAGCGTCGCTGACATACTCGGTATTGGAAGTGATTGCAGGAATTGAGGAGTGGGAGTGACCTGGCTAGGATTGGGCCTTGATGCCAGTGCAATGTGGGACATTATGAACCTAGACATGCAGTGGCAAGGATTACCTAAGTTATTACCTGGAATGAAAGGTTTACTAAAGGCCAGTCTTCAGCGCTTGCCACAGTAGGTACTTAGGACAGAACGAGAAATACAAGAATTGTATTGTATTGTATTGGAATTTTCTGACTGTACTGAAGAGATTAAAGAAAAAAAATGCTGTATTATAAATCTAGATGAACCAACAGATGAAAACAGCAGAAGAGAAAGGTAAACAACACAGAAGGAAATTTAATGTTTGGTAGTGGTGGCATTTAAAAATCAGTAGGGGAAGATAGATTATTAATTAAATGGGTTTGCACTAATGTGTAGCTACCAAGATATAAAGTTGGATTTGTTCCAGTTCCCTCATGTCCAGATGAATTCCTGATGGATCATGTTTTTAAAGGAAATCAGTGAAGCCATGAAATATAAAGAAACCTTGGAGGGATTTTAAAAGTAATCTAAGGGGGCTTGTGCTGTGGTGTAGCGGGTAAAGCCACCAGCTGCAGGGCCGGCATCCCATGTTTAAGTCCGGCTGCTCCACTTCCAATCCAGCTGTCTGCTAAGGCCTGGGAAAGCAGTAGAAGATGGTCCAAGCCCTTGGGCCCCTGCACCCATGTGGGAGACCCAGAAGAAGCTCCTGGCTCCTGGTTTTGGGTCGGCTCAGCTCTAGCCATTGTGACCACCTGGAGAGTGAACCAGCGGATAGAAGACTTCTCTCTCTCTCTCTCCCTCTTTGTAAAAAAAAAAAAAAAAAGTAATCTAGGAAAAATGCAGGCCTTTCTGAGTCTGATACAACCCAGGAGCAGTAAGTGGAAAAACAGAAGTCTGCTAAGATCGACAGAATAGAAATGGAAGATGTCTGTATGACTAAGAAACAAAAATGATCCCAAACAAGCACAGGACAAAATGACGTAGGAGATGTCAGGCGGCACGGCAAGCAGAGAAGTTTGTGACATTCACATCTAAGAAAAAGTAGTTTTTTCCCTGTTATTTTAGGAGTTTCTATGTTCAATAGAAAATTGGACAAAATATATGAATAGATAATTCTGAGAAAAGAAGTATGGGAAGTTACTCTCAATTTCACTAGGTATAGGAGAAATGCAACTGCAAATTAATGTGGTGTTTTTTTGCATTTATCAGATTGATTAAGTTCTATTTCTGAGAAGAATACGGTAAGTCCACCATAGCCCAAATCTTTCTTTTTTTTCTTAAGATTTATTTTATTTGAAAGACAGAGTTACACAGAGAGAGGGGTTTGATCCACTGGTTCACTTCCCAGATGGCCTCAATGGCCGGAGCTGTGCTGATCTGAAGCCAGGAGCCAGGAGCTTTTTCCAGGTCTCCCATATGGGTGCAGGGGCCCCTGCAGAAGAAGAACAGCTGGGACTAGAACCAGCGCCCACATAGGGTGCCAGCACTACAGGCCAGGGCTTTAACCCACTACGCCACAGCGCCAGCCCAAATTTTCATGGATTACTACCATACCCTCTGGGAAAAAAAATAAATAAATAAATAAAAAGCATCCGGATTCGGAAAAAAACACTAAGAGCAGATGGGTTGAAGAGGGAATTAAAAATCTGAAGAAAGATCAATACAGGGGTGGTGTGATTCCTGATTCTTTTTCTTTTTATACAATCTCTATCATCATTTTATTTATTTGAGAGAGAGGGAGATAGAGACAGAGGGCACTCATATCTGCTAATTCACTCCCCAAACGGCGACGGCGGCTGGGGTCAGGCTAGAGCTGGAGCTGGGAGCTGGTGACCCTACTCAGGTCTTCCAGGGGGGAGGCTGGCACGCAACGACTTGAGCCATCACTGCTGACTCCCAAGGTCCATATCAGCAGCAAGCTAAAATCAGGGGCCAGAGCCAGGAGCGGAACCCAGGGGCTCCCATGTGGGATGCGGTGTCTTGACCACTTAGGCTATGGCGCTTCCTTTCCCCTCTCTAGCTCCTGACTTTGATCTGAGGACAGACTAAATTGTGAACCCGACGTTATCAGCAAACAGTGGAAGAGAAGCCTGACAGGGGACAGGACAGGACCAGGAAGAAGGTGGTGGACACGCCTCCTTGTTTTTCCTCCTCTCTTTCCTGCCTTGAGGCCAGCCCCAGTGGTGGAATTCTCAAGACCTTGAGGGAAAGCATGTCCCTGGGGACCAGAAGGAAATGCCTAAAAGCGAGGAGCTGGGTCGGGGAAATCTCTGCCCAGGGTCTGAGCTATGGTTTGTTGTGCAGCAAAAGGTAACGTGCAACCTGGGGATTCACGTCATTAACTGACGTCTGCCATCAGCTACGCCCAGCAACTTGTGCTTATCAGAAACCTTTCACTTGTTAATTGTGGATAGAAGATAAGATTGGTCACGTAAAAGGGACTTGCAATATTTCTATTCAAGGGTTATTTTTTTCCTAGTCCTTCCAGCCAAATAAATATCAGATATTGAAATTATATGCAGGCCGGCACCGCGGCTCAATAGGCTAATCCTCCACCTGCAGCGCCGGCACCCCGGGTTCTAGTCCCAGTCGGGGCGCCGGATTCTGTCCTGGTTGCTCCTCTTTCAGTCCAGCTCTCTGCTGTGGCCCGGGAGTGCAGTGAAGGATGGCCCAGGTCCTTGGGCCCTACACCCACATGGGACACCAGGAGGAAGCACCTGGCTCCTGGCTTCGGATCGGCACAGCTCTGGCCGTTGTGGCCATCTGGGGAGTGAATCAGCGGATAGAAGACCTCTCTCTCTGTCTCTCTCACTATCTAACTCTGCCTGTCAAAAAAAATTTTTAAAAAAGAAATTATATGCAGGGATGAGCAGACAGGAAGTGTGCAGGTACAAAAGTCTAGTGCATGTTCTGTATCCTATTGGCATCCCTGAACACTTTGCCTGATCCTCAGAAGAGAGAGAACCTCTGGTCATGCCCTTGCAGGCCCTGGAGAAGCCAGCCTCAGCAGAACCGGGTCAACAAGGCAGTGAGCTCATGACCGCACCAGGGGTCTCGAAGGGACGATCAGCCCCTCCGAGTGCCGGCATTGCGCTGCTCTTTTCTCCTGCCTGCAACCCAGGACCCAGAGAAGGGGTGGAGCGGGAAGGCAGGGCAGCCTCTCCCCACTGCAGGGTTGGGGCGCACGGCTCTGGCCTGAGCTGGGTGGGTGCAGGGAGAAAGCCTGCGTCCACCCCACCCCCTTGTTTACACCTACTGCTTGCCTGCTCTGGACCTAAGGCTGTGAGGAGCGCAGGGCATGTCTGTGGCCCAAACTAACAACAACAAACAAACCTACCCTTGTGAAGCTTACAGTCTAGGGAGACTGGCCACGAATCTGATACAGAGCAGGAGGGGTTGATGGGTGCTGTGGGAGGAAGCAGTGGAGAGCAGGTGTTAGACAGATGTGCAGAATGAGCCTAGGTGAGCAGGAGAAAACCAAAGACCTGAGCACTGGGGTTTATACCTCCTGAAAGTGAATTACAGCTAAAAAGGGACCTGATCTTAGACCTGACAGTGACAAGACAGAAATACGAGTGACCATGCCACTCCCCAGTTACTACCACTATTGGTGAGCGCGAGCCCAGGTAGGTCCCGCCCCCTCCGGGAGTGACAAGCTCAGCTAGGCCCGCCTCTCCCCTTCCGGCTACGCCCCCTCGACCGGGCAGCTCGGAGAAGCCCCGCCCTGTCCAGAGGCCCCGCCTCCCCCGCCGAGGCCCCGCCTCCCCCGCCTGTGCGTTGCAGCGTCCAGGCCCGGCCACGCGCGCCACGCCCAGCGCCCTGCAGCGCCCACCGGGCAGGCCCGTCCCGCCCCCTGGTCCCCCCTGGCCCGAGCGTGCGCTCGCCCGGCTCGGCGGCGCTGCCTGCTCCCCGGGTCCGCCCCCGAAGACGTGGAGCGGCGCGGCGGCCGGTGAGTGGGGGAGGGGGCGGGGGACCCTCGGCCTCTGCCCGCGAGTGAGTGTGTGCGTGTGTGTGCGCGCGTGTGGGTGGGTGGCTAAGGCCCGGCTACCGGCGCCGCTGTCAGCCGCCGCCCTTCCTTCCCGGGACGCGCCGGGGCTGGCGGTCGCGGGGAAGGGGGAGCGGGACGGGCGCGGCGGTAGCGGTGTCGGGGGTCTGGGGGCGGTTGAGGGGAGGTCGCGGGTGGGGGCCGGGAGAGGCCTGGCGGGAGTGCAGGGGTGAGCGGTGAGGGGCGCGGGCGGGCGAGGCCGCGCGCGGGGCGGCGTTGGCGGGCGCGCGGGGGGCTGCTCGCGCTCCCACCCGGGGGCGTCTGATGGCGGCGCACGTGCGGGGCAGCGCCCGGCGCACCTGAGGGGCGCGCGTGGCGCGGGGTCCTGGAAGAGCCTGGCCCGAGGAGTTTAAATCCAACCCTGCGGGTTTTTAATACAAATCTGCTCCCGGGTGTGCGCCGGGACTGGGTGTTTGCCGACGGTGAGCAGGATAAGAAGTTGTAAGTGATGGGAGGTAGCGCGTCTGCGACCTGCTGGTGTTGGGAGTCCAGCACCGCGGAGGAATGAAATTGGAGAGATGTGAGGTAAAAGGAGATGGAAAGGGCCTGGTAACTTGCAGTGTGTGTTGTGCTTCCGTCAAAACTGGGGGACGCCCTGTTTCATTGAAGAACACTTGGAAGGTAGAGAAAGAGTGGGGCAGGTCGACCCCTCTGCCTGTGACTTCACCGCCCCCCCCCCCCCCCCCCGTCTTAACTTTTAGTCTTTTGGTGTTTTTTTTTTTTTGTAAACGAACATATTACGTAATTTGGAAAGTATTGTGTTACTTTGTATCTTGTGTTTTTCTCCCGCTTAAAAACTTTCTCAACTTAGCATTTACCGGGATCACTAAAAATTCTTCTTAACCGTTGTTTTTTTTAAGATTTAAAAAATTTATTTGAAGGAGTTATGGAGAGAGAGATCTTCCATTCTGGTTCACGCCCCAGATGGCCACAAGAGACGGGAGCTTCATCCGGGTCTCTCACATGGGTGCAGGGGCCCAAGCACTTGGACCATCCTCTGCTGCTTTTCCCAGGTCATTAGCAGGGAGCTGGATTAGAAGTGGGAGCAGCCTAGACACAAACCAGTGCCCATATGGGCGGCTTTACCCACTATGCCACAATGCTGACCCCAAACATCCTTTTTTTTTTTCCCCAAAGAAAAGATTATTTATTTGAAAGTTCAAGAGAGAAAAAGACCTATCATTTGCTGGTTCATTCCCCAGATAACTGCAACAGCTGGTGCTGGGCCACGCCAAAGCCAAGACCTCCATCCAGGTGTCCCCACTGGGGCCATCATCTACTGCCTCCCAGGTGGGTGAGCAGGGAGCTGGATCTGAAGCTAGGCTGTCGGGGCTGGAACTGGCACTCGGATGTGGGAGATGAGGAGCGCAGGCATCCCAAGCACCTTGACCCACTGTGCCACAACTCCCAGCCCTTAAACAACTTTGTAAGTGGTTGTCTAACTGCTCATCTCACGGGTTAATTCTGTGGTCAGAGAATCCAATATCAGCCGTGTACCTCGTACTGTGCTTGGAGGTGAAGATTCAGTGTTGCTGAAGATAGGTTGCTTTGTCCCGAGCCTAAATGATAGCTGTGCTATGCGTTCTTAGTTCACAGTCTCTGAGTTATCTTTAGTTTTTTGCTTTTACAAACAATAAAACCTTCGTTCTCCGTAGAATCCATCTAGTGTTGTATGTGAATCAAAAGCTGTTATTTTTATCATGTGTGGGTTTCTGTGTGTATGCATTATACGGAGGAAAACAGAGAATCTTTTTGAAGTAAATCTTCAAATTTTAAAAGTTTTGATACAGTTAATTTATAAAAAGTTGCCAAAATAATACAAAGACTTCCATATGCTCTTCACCTACTTTCCCGAATGGCGATTCCTTACATAACCGTGGGACAGCCACGGGAACCGGGGAATGTGTGCCGATACACTTCTGCTGAGACTTCTGCAGCCTGACTCCGGTTTCACCTGCATCGCGGACACCTGGGCTCCGGCGCAGCATCCTGTGTTGGGTTCAGGCGTCCTGTCTCCACAGCTGTGTTGAATCCCCATCCTCTTAAACTGACCTGTTAGAAAGCCTGCATCAGCCCTAAACGCAGATCTAATGCCACCTGCCTTCGATTCCTGTGTAGGTAGGCTTCTCTGGGATGCAGCTGTGGAATCCGTCAGTTACCTTTAATCTCTTGTATGTACTACTTGGAAATCGTCCAGATTTACAGAATAGGAGTGATCCGAGTGACCTACACTTGTCTGTCTCGCGGGGCTACGGATCGGCACTGGAAACCTCTGGAAAGCAGCGTGCCGACTGCTAAGTCCCATCTCGGGATATCTTTGAGGAAAGGGTGATGCCCTTGCTCTGTGTTGAGGTGTGGTCCTGGTTTTAAACATGAAAATCTGTGTCCCAGAAAACACCTCCAACTGGAGCAGCTTCTCAGCCCCTAGAGCGACTGCCTGTTATCTCAGCCAAAACCAGCAGCGCCTTGGCAGGATCTGGGCTAATGCATGGTAGCAACAAACACCCTGTGTGGGGGCTGGCTCTGTGGTGCAGAGGCACAGTGGGTTGATGCCTTGGCCTGAAGCTCCGGCATCCCCTATGGGCGCCGGTTCTAGTCCCTTCTGCTCCACTTCCGATCCAGTTCTCTGCTATGGCCTGGGATAGCAGTAGAAGATGGCTCAGGTCCTTGGGCCCTTGCACCCACGTGGGAGACCCAGAGGAAGCTCCTGGCTCCTGGCTTCGGATTGGTGCAGCTCCGGCTGTTGCGGCCAATTGAGGAGTGAACCATCAGATGGAAAACCTCTCACCTCTCTCTCTCGGCCTCTCCTCTCTCTGTGTAACTCTGACTTTCAAAAAAATATTAAAAAAAAAACACACACACACACACACACCCTGTATGGCCTCCCTGGGGTTGCCGTGGGGAGACTCAGCTGTGTGACCCTGGGCATATCTGGTCCTGTGCAGCCGCTCTGGCCTAGTCCCTCGCTTTCGTGGCAAGGTTGTCTTTGGTGTACTGTGTGTCATCCAACAGCGTTGAGGTGACCCAAGTCCCTAGTGGCCTTCTTTCGGGAAATGAGCCTCTGCGTTTTTGTCTTTGTCACCGAGGATCTCGGGTGAGGGTGGTGTGTGCAGTGCTGGGGGGTTTTCCACTCTGTTCTGTTATAGGAGTCTCCAGGATGGAGGCTCCCACACCTGTGGCCGTGGTTAACTGCCTGCCTGCAGGGTCTACACAGAGGCCTGGAAGTGGGGTCAGCTCTCACTCAGACCCTCTGGGGCATCCTGGCCCCCTGTGAACTCTGGCCTTTGTAATTCTAAGTTTTCTCCAAGGAACTCTCTCTTGTCTACCAGCTTCATCCCTGCAACCCTAAATTTGTCTCTTACTGAATTGTTTGCTGTTCTCTTTCATGTTTCTCCTGGCGCTTTTCCTTCTTAGTCTTCGGATTCTTGATAATCCCATTGACTTCTTTTTTAACCCAAACTCTGCAAGAGGATGATCTCCCAAATCAAGAAAGCATCATTCTTGTGCTTAGATAAAACATCACACTGCTCTCACCCTCTAAGTGTATTTCTTTGCATCTTGAGCACCATGGTCTGGAGTTGCCTCTTGTAGACCAGCGATCCAGTGGCCAATGTAAAAGCCACAAGACTCTACTTCCTCTCTTAATGTCTCTTTGGCCCTGTGTGTGATGGAACCCATGAAGAAGAACAAAATTTAGGATAGCTATCTCTTGTTAAAAATTCCATGCTGCCTTGGCATGGTTAATTCTTTCTTTAATTAATTATTTATTTATTTTGACAGGCAGAGTGGACAGTGAGAGAGAGAGAGAGAAAGGTCTTCCTTTGTCGTTGGTTCATCCTCCAATGGCTGCCGCGGCCGGCGCACTGTGGCCGGCGCACCGCGCTGATCCGAAGCCAGGAGCCAGGTGCTTCTCCTGGTCTCCCATGGGGTGCAGGGCCCAAGCACCTGGGCCATCCTCCACTGCACTCCCTGGCCACAGCAGAGAGCTGGCCTGGGTGGGGGGCAACCGGGACAGAATCTGGCGCCCCGACTGGGACTAGAACCCGGTGTGTCAGCGCTGCTAGGTGGAGGATTAGCCTATTGAGCTGTGGCGCTGGCTGGCATGGTTAATTCTTGATCCTGTACCCAGGGTCTAGGAGGGACCCCAGTGTTCTAGACCTTGGAGTTGCTGTCCGGGCCAACAGTCTACCTTCCAGTGTGCCCAGGAAGTCTGCTGAATGATTCTTTGCTTTGACATTGGCTCCAACTAGAATAATAAGGTTCCAGCTACACTTGCAGCTCAGTGCTGGCCGAGGTTGCCATGAGGCTTCTTTTTTCCACAAATTTCCTCCTCCTCTCCATTTTTGCACCGTTGGGGCAGCTAGTAGGAGAAGGGAGACTGGATCACGCCTGGGTGTCACTTGCAAGGTGAAAGCCTGCCTCGTCCACTGCCTGCTGTTAGCAGAGCAGAGGGCAGGAATCCCCCAGGAAGGCAGTGACAGGGATCCCTGGAGGAGACCCCATACTGAGGTGGGATTACCATATGGGGCCAGGGATTTCCTGGGCAGAGGGCACCCCTGGGTGAGGTTAAGGGACAGGAGGAGAAGAGTGTAGGTGGTGGGAGAGGGAGCCTGCTTTTTGGGTGATGTGGCCTGTGAGTATGCTGGTGTAGGGTGCTGTGGCCTCTTAGTGCTCTGGCCTTTAAGGATACTGTGGTCCAGTAGGCGGCACAAGCACAGAGCAGCTGAAAACAGGCAAGAGGGAGCTGAGTTGATCCTTATGGACACTGTGTCACCAGCAGTCTCGACACCTTCAAGATCATCTGAGGTCTCTGAGCCTGTGGGGGGCAAGCTCCGCTCCAGAGGAGCAGCAGGCAGCCTTCCCGGTTCACACTGCTGGGGCAGAATTCAAGCAGTTGACACTTGTGGTATACACAGAGAGCGAGGTCTTCCATCTGCTGGTTCGCTCCCTATATGGCCACAATGGCTGGAGCGGCACTGATCCAAAGCCAAGGGCTTATTCCTGGTCTCCCACACGGGTGCAGGGACCCAAGCACTTGGGCCATCCTCCACTGCCTTCCCAGCTCATCAGCAGAGAGCTGGACTGGAAGAGGAGCAGCTTGGACAAGAACCGGTGCCTTAGCCTACGATGCCATAGTGCCAGCTCCAGACGTGAGATTTTTATTGGGCTGAAACACGCTGCAAGGCTATAGCAAGGCCAGTGTTACTTTCTGAAGATGAGGCAGTTTTCTGGATAAGAGTGAGGAAATGTGCTTACATCCTGAGTCCCATTATTTCTTGTTGTTAAGCAGAAGGCATTTCATTGTTAACTTTTACTTAAAACCATTTTTAAAGCCATGTGGCTTTTATATAAGATTGACATGGCTTTAATCTGATAAATAAAGCAAAGTATCTTATATAGTTTTTTTTTTCTTATTTTAAAGATTTATTTATTTGTAAGTCAGAGTTACACACAGAGAGAAGGAGAGGCAGCGAGGGAGGGATCTTCAGTCCGCTGGTTCACTCCCCAATTAGCTGCAATGTCCAGAGCTGCACCAATCCCAAGCCAGGAGCCTGGAGCCTCTTCTGGGTCTCCCACTTGGGTGCAGGGGCCCAAGGACCTGGCCATGTTACACTGCTTTCCCAGGCCACACCTGAGAGCTGGATCGGAAGTGGAGCAGCCGGGACTTTAACCGGCACCCGTATGTGATGCCGGTACTGTGGGCAGTGGCTTTACCTGCTACACTATAGAGCCAGCCCCTTTTGGTTTTATTTTTTTTTTATATCATTGGACCTCAGTTAACTAAAATGTGTATTTTGTATATACTATTGAAAATATAGGAATTCTATATTATTTTAGAAATACAGACCCCTGTCTCTGTGGTCAACTACCAGCTCGGGGCCTGCACTGTGGCGCAGCAGGTTAATCCTCCACCTGCAGCACTGGCATCCCATATTGGCACTGGTTTGAATCCTGGCTTCTCCTATTCCAATCCAGTTCTCTGCTATGGCCTGGGAAAGCAGTAAAAGATGGCCTAAGTGCTTGGGCCCCTGCACCCACGTGGGAGACCCAGAAGAAGCTCCTGGTTCCTGGCTTCAGATCAGTGCAGCTCTGGCCTTTGGTGCCTTTTGGGGAGTGAACCATCAGATGGAAGACCTTTCTGTCTGTCCTTCTCACTGTCTGTAATTCTCTCTCTCAAATAAATAAAATCTTTAAAAAAAGACCAGCTCAGTAAGATTGAAAATGTAAAGAAGGAAATTAAAATCATTCTAAATCCTGCTTCCTAGAGAAAGCAATTGGGATAAATGAAT